CCAGAGCGACTTACAGTTAGTGAGTGCATACATTTTTTTTCATACTGGCCCCCCGTGGGAATCGAACCCACAACCCTGGCGTTGCAAGCGCCATGCTCTACCAACTGAGCTACAGGGGGCCTTAATAGTCACTCTAACAATGTTTACATATTTTTGCTTTACTCATCTCATATGTATATACTGTATTCTATTCTACTGTATTTTAGTCTATGCCACTCCGACATTGCTCGTTCTAATATTTATATATTTCTTAATTCCATTCTTTTAGATTTGTGTGTATTGTTATAGCTGGAGTAAATGGTTATAGGGTCAGGGTGGAGTATGTATGGCTTGTTATAGCTGGAGTAAATGGTTATAGGGTCAGGGTGGAGTATGTATGGCTTGTTATGATCTGTATTTTGCTCCGTTCATCTTTCCCTCGATGCGGCTGAAAAACATCCCCACATCTTAGTGGTTCCAAACATCTTCCATTTAAGAATGATGGAGGCCACTGTGTTCTTGGGGACCTTCAATGCTGCAGAAATGTTTTGGTACCCTTCCCCAGATCTGTGCCTCAACACAATCCTGTCTCAGAGCTTTACGGACAATTCCTTCAACCTCATGGCTTGATTTTTGCTCTGACATGCACTGTCGACTGTGGGACCTTATATAGACAGTTGTGTGCCTTTCCAAATCATGTCCAATCAATTGAATTTACCACAGGTGGACTCCAATCAAGTTGTAGAAACATCTCAAGGATGATCAATGGAAACAGCATGCACCTGAGCTCAATTTTGAGTCTCATAAGCAAAGGGTCTGAATACTTATGTAAATAAGGTATTTTTTAAATTGTATTTTATAAATTTGCACACATTTCTAAAAACCTGTTTTCGCTTTGTCATTATGGGGTGTTGTGTTTAGATTGATGAGGATTTGTATGTATTTAATCCATTTTAGAATAAGGCTGTAACGTAACACAATGTGGAAAAAGTGAAGGGGTCTGAATACTTTCTGAATTCACTGCACATTGTAGATTCATAATATTACATTGTATTGTATTACACCCTCCATACTCCACCCTGACCCATTTACTCCTTTTCCAGCCATACTCCCTTCCTCTATCAAATCAAATTACATTTTATTGGTCACATACACATATTTAGCAGATGTTATTGCGGGTGTGGCGAAATGCTTCTAGATCCAACAGTGCAGTAGTATCTAACAATTCACAACGATACACACAAATCTAAAAGAATGGAATTAAGAAATATATAAATATTAGTACGAGCAATGTCGGAGTGGCATAGACTAAAATACAGTAGAATAGAATACAGTATATACACATGAGATGAGTAAAGCAAAAATATGTAAACATTATTAGAGTGACTATTAAGGCCCTCTGTAGTTCAGTTCCACTCCTGCCTTGTCTTGGCTGTAAGCTTAGGGTCGTTTTCCTGTTGGAAGGTGAACCTTCGCCCCAGTCTGAGGTCCTTGAATGAGTAGGTGTGTCCAAACTTTTGACTGGTACTGTTTATATATATTTATACACACACACACACTCCGGACTCCGACATTGCTCATCCTAATATTTCTGTATTTCTTAATTCCATTATTTTACTTTCAGATTATTGTGTATTGTTAGATACTACTGCACTGTTTGAGCTAGGAACACAAGCATTTCGCTACACCCGCAATAACATCTGTTAAATATGTGTATGCGACCAATAACATTTGATTTGACTTATTATAAACTGGAAGTAAACTCGCCCCGCCATGTGTGTTTGGTTCCCAGGGTATTTGTATTTATTCTGGATCCCCATTAGCTGCTGCCAAGGCAGCAGCTACTCTTCCTGGGGTCTAGCAAAATTAAGGCAGTTATACACTTTAAAAACATTACAATACATTCATAACAGATTTCACAAGATATTAAGTGTGTGCCCTCAGGCCTCTACTCTACTACCACATATCTATACTCTACTACCACATATCTATAACACAAAATCCATGTGTACATGTGTGTATAGTGCGTATGTTATCTTGTGTTTGTATGCATGTGTCTATGTTTGTGTTGCTTCACAGTCCCCGCTGTTCCATAAGGTGTGTTTTTATCTGATTTTAAATCTAATTTTACTGCTGGCATGAGTTACTTGATGTGGAATAGAGTTCCATGTAGTCATGGCTCTATGTAGTACTGTGTGCCTCCCATAGTCTGTTCTTGACTTCGGGACAGCGAAGAGACCTCTGGTGGCATGTCTTGTGGGGTATGCATGGGTGTCCGAGCTGTGTGCCAGTAGTTCAAACAGACAGCTTGGTGCATTCAACATGTCAATACCTCTCACAAATACAAGTAGTGATGAAGTCAATCTCTCCTCCACTTTGAGCCAGGAGAGATTGACATGCATATTATTAATGTTAGCTCTCTGTGTACATCCAAGGGCCAGCCGTGCTGCCCTGTTCTGAGCCAATTGCAATTTTCCTAAGTCCCTCTTTGTGGCACTTGACCACACGACTGAACAGTAGTCCAGGTGCGACCAAACTAGGGCCTGTAGGACCTGCCTTGTTGATATTGCTGTTACGAAGGCAGAACAGCGCTTTATTATGGACAGACTTCTCCCCATCCTAGCTACTGTTGTATCAATATGTTTTGACCATGACAGTTTACAATCCAGGGTTACTCCAAGCAATTTAGTCTCCTCAACTTGCTCAATTTCCACATTATTCATTACAAGATTTAGTTGAGGTTTAGAGTTTAGTAAATGATTTGTCCCAAATACCATGCTTTCAGTTTTTGAAATATGTAGGACTAACTTATTCCTTGCCACCCATTCTTAAACTAACTGCAGCTCTTTGTTAAGTGTTGCTGTCATTTCAGTCTCTGTGGTAGCTGACGTGTGTAATGTTGAGTCATCCGCATACATAGACACACTGGCTTTACTCAAAGCCAGTGGCATGTCGTTAGTAAAGACTGAAAAAAGTAAGGGGCCTAGACAGCTGCCCTGGGGAATTCCTGATTCTACCTGGATTTTGTTGGAGAGGCTTCCATTAAAGAACACCCTCTGTGTTCTGTTAGACAGGTAAGTCTTTATCCACAATATAGCAGGGGGTGTAAAGCAATAACACATATGTTTTTCCAGCAACAGGCTATGATCGATAATGTCAAAACCCGCACTGAAGTCTAACAAAACAGACCCCACAATCTTTTTATCATCAATTTCTCTCAGCCAATCATCAGTCATTTGTGTCAGTGCTGTGCTTGTTGAATGTCCTTCCCTATAAGCGTGCTGAAAGTCTGTTGTCAATTTGTTTACTGTAAAATAGTATTTTATCTGGTCAAACACAATTTTTTCCAAAAGTTTACTAAAGGGTTGGTAACAAGCTGATTGGTCGGCTATTTGAGCCAGTTAAGGGGGCTTTACTATTCTTAGGTAGGGGAATAACTTTAGCTTCCCTCCAGGCCTGAGGGCACACACTTTCTAGTAGGCTTAAATTGAAGATACAGTTGAAGTCGGAAGTTTACATACACCTTAGCCAAATACATTTAAACTCAGTTTTTCACAATTCCTGACATTTAATCCTAGTAAAAATTCCCTTTCTTAGGTCAGTTAGGATCACCACTTTATTTTAAGAATGTGAAATGTCAGAATAATAGTAGAGAGAATGATTTATTTCAGCTTTTATTTCTTTCATCACATTCCCAGTGGGTCAGAAGTTTACATACACTCAATTAGTATTTGGTAGCATTGCCTTTAAATTGTTTAACTTGGGTCAAACGTTTCAGGTAGCCTTCCACAAGCTTCCCACAATAAGTTGGGTGAATTTTGGCCCATTCCTCCTGACAGAGCTGGTTTAACTGAGTCAGGTTTGTAGGCCTCCTTGCTCGCACACGCTTTTTCAGTTCTGCCCACAAATGTTCTATAGGATTGAGGTCAGAGCTTTGTGATGGCCACTCCAATATCTTGACTTTGTTGTCCTTAAGCCATTTTGCCACAACTTTGAAAGTATGCTTGGGGCCATTGTCCATTTGGAAGACCCATTTGCAACCAAGCTTTAACTTCCTGACTGATGTCTTGAGATGTTGCTTCAATATATCCATATCATTTCCCTTCCTCATGATGCCATCTATTTTGTGAAGTGCACCAGTCCCTCCTGCAGCAAAGCACCCCCACAGCATGATGATGCCACCCCCCGTGCTTCACGGTTGGGATGGTGTTCTTGGGCTTGCAAGCACCTCCTTTTTCCTCCAAACATAACGATGGTCATTATGGCCAAACAGTTCTATTTTTGTTTCATCAGACCAGAGGACATTTCTCCAAAAAGTACGATCTTTGTCCCTATGTGCAGTTGCAAACCGTTGTGTGGCTTTTTTATGGCAGTGTTGGAGCAGTGGCTTTTTCCTTGCTTTCAGGTTATGTCGATATAGGACTCGTTTTACTGTGGATATAGATACTTTTGCTGATTTCTTTTTATTTCCCATGATGTCAAGCAAAGAGGCACTGAATTTGAAGGTAGGCCTTGAAATACATCCACAGGTACACCTCCAATTGACTCAAATTATGTCAATTAGCCTATCAGAAGCTTCTAAAGCCAAGCTGTTTAAAGGCACAGTCAACTTAGTGTACGTAATCTTCTGACCCACTGGAATTGTGATACAGTGAATTATAAGTTAAATAATCTGTCTGTAAACAATTGTTGGAAAAATTACTTGTGTCATTCACAAAGTAGATGTCCTAACCGACTTGCCAAAACTATAGTTTGTTAACAAGAAATGTGTGGAGTGGTTGAAAAACAGTGTATGTAAACTTACGACTTCAACTGTATATCTACAGTAGATCATATATCTCTACAGTAGATCATATCTCTACAGTAGATCATATATCTCTACAGTAGATCATATATCTCTATAGTAGATCATATATCTCAACCCTACATCATATATCTCTACAGTAGGATATAACACATGGCTGCTTTAAGACTAACGGCCTCTATTTGTGGTGTGTGTATGTATGCTGTGTGTGTTGCAGGCGTTGGGAGGCCTGTCCTACCAGGATCTGTATCAACGTATCCTCTCTGCAGCATCGTCCGCTCAGGCTCAGGACACCTGCTTCGCTGCAGCCGGATTAGTCTTCATCACGGGAGTACCCTCGGTCATCATAGGAGCAGTGGCAGCCTCCACAGGTGCACAGACAGCCAGACAGACAGTCAGGCAGCCAGTCAACCAGCTGGTCGGTCAGTCAGTCAACCAGCTAGGCGGTCAGTCAGTCAGTCAACCAGCTAGGCGGTCAGTCAGTCAACCAGCCAGTCAGTCAGTCAGTCAGTCAGTCAGACAGTCAATCAGTAAGTCAGTCAACTAGTCAGTCCGTCAATCAGTCAACCAGCCAGTCAGTCAGTCAGCCAGTCAACCAGCTAGTCAATCAGTCAGTATGTCAGTCAGTCAGTCAGTCAGCTAGCCAACCAGTCAGTCACTCCTCCCCTCCATCCCCTTTCCTGACTGAACCCTCTCTTTACCCCTTCCTCTCTCTCCCTTCTCTCCCCCCTACAGACTGGAACCAGACGGCGTACGGCCTGCCCGCTCCGTTTGCCCGTGGGGAGGCAGGGAAGGTGCTGCCTCTGGCCCTGCAGTACCTCACCCCTCCCTGGGTGTCTGTGGTGGGCATCGGGGCTGTGGCTGCAGCCGTCATGTCCTCCATGGACTCTGTCCTCCTCTCCTCTGCATCCATGTTTTCTCACAACATCTACAAGAGCACTCTCAGGGCACAGGTGTGTGTTTGTGTGTGTTTGTGTGTGTTTGTGTGTGTTTGTGTGTGTATGTGTGTGCAGGGGCTTTCAATTGACTTAAAGTATGAAGAATTTCCTTCTGAAAATTGCTGTTATGTCAATCAAGAAAAGTATACAAGTCCTCTCTCTCTCTCTCTCTCTCGTATATCTCTCTTCTCTCTCTACGTCTCGCTATCTCTATCTATCGACTCCTATCTTATATCTCTCTCTCTCGCTCTCTCAGTCTACTCTCTCTCTCTCTCCTCTCTCTCATCCTCTCTCTCTCCTCTCTCTCTCTCTCTCTCTCTCTCTCTCTCTCAGGCGTCAGACAGGGAGTGTGTGTGGGTGATCCGGGTCAGTGTGTTGCTGGTGGGTTTGGCTGGTACAGGCCTGGCGTTCGCTGAGGACAGTGTGTTTGCCTTCTGGCTGATGAGTGGAGACCTCATCTCTACTGTGTGATCTTCCCCCAGCTTATCTGTGTTCTTCACTGCCGCTGTGCTAATGGCTACGGTGCTACTGCTGGTTACCTTGTGGCAGTCACTCTGAGGCTGCTGAGTGGAGAGCCTCTCCTCCGGCTCCCAACGGTCCTCCTGTTCCCTGGTTGGAGGGAGGAGGGGGGAGTCATCCGCCAGTACTTCCCCTTCAGGACTCTGGTGATGTTGGTGTCTCTGGTGTGTATCCCCCAGCCTCCAGCCTGGCCACCCTGGCCTTCAGCCGTCGCCTGCTGCCCCGCTCCTGGGACATGCTGGCCGCACTGGGGGAGGAGGAGAGGGGGAAGGATGGAAAAGCTCCTGGCCAGCACCAGCTGCTAGGGACGGCGGGACGGAGGGAGGGGGTTGATGTATCAATGTCTTTAACAGGGGGGCAGTAACACTCTCTAAAGGAGGTGGACAATTGAAGAGTTTCATTCCAAAACAATATATCAATTTTCAGAAATGTTGATAAATCAGCTTTTATTGTTTGAAGAACTTATGAAAGAGATTGGTGTGTTTTTTCACTGTCTAATCGTGGCATGGGGTTGTTCAGGTGACATACAGTGGGGAAAAAAAGTATTTAGTCAGCCACCAATTGTGCAAGTTCTCCGGTCAGTCAGTCAACCAGCCAGTCAGTCAGTCAGTCAGTCAGTCAGACAGTCAATCAGTAAGTCAGTCAACTAGTCAGTCCGTCAATCAGTCAACCAGCCAGTCAGTCAGTCAGCCAGTCAACCAGCTAGTCAATCAGTCAGTATGTCAGTCAGTCAGTCAGTCAGCTAGCCAACCAGTCAGTCACTCCTCCCCTCCATCCCCTTTCCTGACTGAACCCTCTCTTTACCCCTTCCTCTCTCTACCTATGCAAGTCCTTCCTCTCTCTACCTATGATGAAAATTACAGGCCTCTCATCTTTTTAAGTGGGAGAACTTGCACAATTGGTGGCTGACTAAATACTTTTTTTCCCCACTGTACATGTATTTGTTTAAAATCTATCACTTGATAGTTTAATTTTAGAGACAAATAATCATGTTTTTGTTGCAAAACGCTACATATCAGCCTCACTATAAGTAGTACTGCTAGGTTTTACAGTCAAACGTAACAAATAACTACATGTTTTATAAAGAACAGTATAAATTATACATTTGTTACATCAATATTTTAAAAAGTTTAAAAAAAAAGTTATTAAATACAGTAATATGAGATTTACATTTACATTACATTTTAGTCATTTAGCAGACGATCTTATCCAGAGCGACTTACAGTTAGTGAGTGCATACATTTTCATACTGTATGTAAAACATTTACATTTCACATGTTAGTCATTTAGCAGCTAGGCTCTTATCCAGAGTGCATTCATCTTAAGATAGCTAGGTGAGACAACCACATATCACAGTCAAATATACAGGATACGAACATTCCATTCCAGCTAAACAATGGATATATAACGTTTTGCAACAAAATCAATTTTAATCAAAAATCTATTAATTAAAAATCTAAGAATAGTAATATTTTACACACACTTGAAGTTACCCATGATGAGAATCATTTCTCATGAAAAAGCACAAATGTGAAAAATTGGTGGATATAGCATTTCGGAACTAAACTCTTCAATTGCACTGCTTAAGGGGGGAGCAGTAACTGCCCGTCTCTGAATGACCTAAAATGATCCATCCCACATTGGTCCTTCAGTCAGGCCAACCCAAGCTGTACTGTGCAGTAGGATAATAGTAGGCCTACTATTGAAACGGATAAATTGAGTCAGAAATTCACAGGTTTCAGATTTTTCCAAATTTTTGCTCTCAAAGTCACACTTTAACAGAAAAAAAAGTGCTATGTTCTAAATCCATAACAATGCTAAAACCACATCAGGGGACCACTTTTGAGGTCTGGGAAAAATCTAAGAAATTTAGATTTTTTAGTGTACTTACCCTTTAATTCAAGTGTGCAGGCCCCTAGCACTGTTGTTTGGTTGGTGGCGTTTCTGTAGCACAGGAGATTGAGTTTTAAAAGAAATGGCCACTGGATTGATGCAAATAATCATGATATCATTCTGCCAGCTAGACATAGGCTACTTTGTAGCTAGTTAACTTTTAATTGAGAAGGTTTTTGGGGAAAGTCTTTCCATCTACCAGAAGATAATTAGGCCTATCATTAACATCGCTATATATTTCCTGTTCTTTAATTGTTTGAAACCTGGACGTTACTTCATATTATCAGGCATGTCTTGCTTCACAGTAGCCTATAGCCAAAATCCCACGATAGAAACGTGGAGGCAATTCTTTTTCTAAAGACTTCCTCATATGCGTTCTCCTGTTCTATTGGTTTTCTTTCAACTTTCTTTCATTGTCTAGCAGCCAAAGACATTATCCTAATCATATCAGCAACCCATGATAGTTGTTGCATCTTTAAATCCCCTATATTTTTACATTTCTAATGGGTATTTCCATCTCTGTCCATGAAACCGCTCACATGTGCAGTGCGCATTTTAGAATGGTGTATTGCCGCAAATAGCATTTCGAAACATTTACACGTAGTCCTACCGACGTGTGTACCTCCACTACACTACTTTGATACGTATCAGTGGGGATTAAGAAGTGATTATAAGTAATGCTGACTGTAAAATTAATGGGTACACAGCGTATACCCTCCACTACACCACTGGTTGAAAGTATAGGGAGTGTTACTTTACTCACCACGAACGGCGATCAGCGTTTAGCCAGATTTTTTTTTTTTTTTACCACTACCTCTCCGGTTAACACCAGATCATCAGGGTAAGGGTAGGGGCCAGGTTCAGTCAACACCAGATCATCAGGGTAAGGGTAGGGGCCAGGTCCAGTCAATACCAGATCATCAGGGTAAGGGTAGGGGCCAGGTCCAGTCAACACCAGATCATCAGGGTAAGGGTAGGGGCCAGGTCCAGTCAACACCAGATCATCAGGGGCCAAAGCACTCGAACCACTTTGAGAGTGATGAGCCATAGCGGTCAGTCAAGCTACACAAACTTTTTTTCAACTTCGAACAAAGCAAAACACAATGTAAGAGTTGTATAAATGCTAATTTTCTATCTGACCTACGGTATCATACAGATTTCTGATGGTGTCTCCTTTCAAGTGTTTCTGCAGCACATGCTCAGTAGGGTTTGTAAGGCTACAATACCTCTGGAAGCCAAAGCCATTCCTTTTAATGGCTGTTTCTAGATTCGCAACATTTGATACTAAACTAGATAATGACAAGTAGCTGAAAAGAATAACCTTTGAGACACAACACACACAGCTACATACAGCTACACACGATGCACAAACACACATATCAACACACACAGCTACACACGATGCGCACACACACATATCAACACACACAGCTACACACGACGCACACACACACACACACACACACACACACACACACACACACACACACACACACACACATCAACACACGATGCACAAACACACATATCAACACACACAGCTACACACGATGCACACACACATATTGCTGCAGAAACACATACCAACACATACATTTTACTGCACATACACAGAGTCGTTGCATATCCACATATTTTACGCATAGTCTTCTAGTACATAGCACTGCCCACACAGCAGACAATACAGGAACCTGTGCCAACAAACCAACATATAGTTTATCTAGCTCCACTGATCATGCCTGGTCTCCCAGTTTGATTGGCTGATTGTTACCTTGGTAACAGTGTACAGCACCCAAACCAAGGTGACATGTTCCAGTTAAACAGGTGTGTGTGGGTTAGAGTTACCCCAGGCGTGTGTGGGTTAGTGTTACCCCAGGTGTGTGGGTTAGTGTTACCCCAGGTGTGTGGGTTAGTGCTACCCCAGGTGTGTGTGGGTTAGTGTTACCCCAGGTGTGTGTGGGTTAGTGTTACCCCAGGTGTGTGGGTTAGTGTTACCCCAAGTGTGTGTGGGTTAGTGTTACCCTAGTGTGTGTGTGGGTTAGTGTTACCCCAGGTGTGTGTGTGGGTTAGTGTTACCCCAGGTGTGTGTGGGTTAGAGTTACCCCAGGTGTGTGGGTTAGAGTTACCCCAGGTGTGTGGGTTAGTGTTACCCCAGGTGTGTGTGGGTTAGTATTACCTCTTTAAGGAATACCTGGGATAGGATAAAGTAATCCTTCTACCCCCCCCCCCCCAAAAAAAAAAAAAAAGATATTGTAAAGTGGTTATCCCACTGGCTATAGGGTGAATGCACCTATTTGTAAGTCGCTCTGGATAAGAGTGTCTGCTAAATGACGTAAATGTAAATGTAAAAATGTGTGGGTTAGTGTTACCCCAGGCGTGTGTGGGTTAGTGTTACCCCAGGTGTGTGGGGGTTAGTGTTACCCCAGGTGTGTGGGTTAGTGTTACCCCAGGTGTGTGGGTTAGAGTTACCCCAGGTGTGTGGGTTAGAGTTACCCCAGGTGTGTGGGTTAGAGTTACTCCAGGTGTGTGGGTTAGTGTTACCCCAGGCGTGTGGGTTAGTGTTACCCCAGGCGTGTGGGTTAGTGTTACCCCAGGCGTGTGGGTTAGTGTTACCCCAGGCGTGTGGGTTAGTGTTACCCCAGGTGTGTGGGTTAGAGTTACCCCAGGTGTGTGGGTTAGTGCTACCCCAGGTGTGTGTGGGTTAGTGTTACCCCAGGTGTGTGTGGGTTAGTGTTACCCCAGGCGTGTGTGGGTTAGAGATACCCCAGGTGTGTGTGGGTTAGAGTTACCCCAGGTGTGTGGGTTAGTGTTACCCCAGGTGTGTGGGTTAGTGTTACCCCAGGTGTGTGTGGGTTAGTGTTACCCCAGGTGTGTTTGTGGGGGGGGGGGGTGCAGACACCTGGCAATGTATGCTAGTGATGTCTTCATCAGGTGTTGTGTTTTGCTCATGTAAACGTTCTTTTGGGGTTTGTTACAACCCTCAGAATCGGTGTTCGCCAAAGTATCTGCCTTCGTACTTCAGGTTTGGGGTTAGGGGGTTGGGAGTCGGGTTTACGTATGGCAGGAAAAGCAGCGTACCAAATCCTTTATTCATTTGACAAGATGTGTATTATTATGAAGGTATGGATCAGCACCACCTGCATGGTTGGGGGTGTTCTGAGGTGTGTGTGTTTGGGTTGGGGTTAGGGTTAAATTCTGACCTGGTTGTGTTTGGATTCTGACGCTGCTTTGCCTCTGTCAGGGGCACTGATCCTCTCTTTTGCACAGTGTCGTGAGGAGCAAATGTTTTCCTCTGGGTCACAATGCAGGACTGTCCTCTGTATTCCTGTGTTCTCTTTCTATACATTTGCTTATTTTTGTGTATTTCCTAATATAATAAATGTGTTTTTGCTACATTGATAACATGAAATGGTCTGTTTTTGTATGAGTGTACAC